CTCATCTCTAGCGTTTCTATCAAGATTCGGGCGATCTCGTCGAGGTCGACTCCCGAACATATTAGTCCTTCGAGCCGAATAGGAGCGTGTGTGGAGGATACGTTCGCGAGTGAGTGATATTCTGACACATCCACGATGTTGGAGCACATCGCACATCAGCAGCAGCTGCAGCGTACAATTGAACGCTCTCTTGACAAATTCAAAAAGGTCGGCCGGAGCAACTTAACTCCGGCTAAAGTACGCGCGAGGATCTCTACGCTTAAGGACATCTGGATTCAATTCTCCAATGGACATGCAGAGGTATCGCGGAAGGTCCCGGAAGCAATCCGGTCATCGCTTAGCTACTACAAGGAGAATCATTTCGACTCAACCTTCGCTGCCTATGAGAACGCTTTGGACCACATGTTGGAAATCTTGGAAGAAATGGAGCCGGCCGTGAGTCCAAATCCGTCTCTTTCCTCGACGAGGCTGCACGCGGAAGCGTCCGCGTTCTTTTTATCGCATCTTCCGCCCATTAAATTACCTTCGTTCGACGGTAATTATGAGGATTGGGAACAATTTCGCGATCGATTTACGACTCTAATTCGTGAAAATTCGGATCTAAATAATTTCGCTCGCATGCACTTTTTATCATCGTGCCTTAAGGGTAGCGCGCTGGAATGTATAGCGAAAATTTCTATAACGGCCGCGAATTTTGAAATAGCGTGGAAAGCGTTGACCTCACGGTACGACGACAAAAAGCGGTCGATAAACAAACATCTCTCGACATTGCTCGGCTTATCATCTATCCCGCGCGAATCTGCCACCGAGATGCAGACTTTAAAGCTAATATCGCAATGGCATCATTAAAAGCCCTCGATCGAAAACCGGAGGAACTCTAGGAAGATATTGTCGTTCATATCCTTGTGCAAAAATTAGATCCGTTAACGCGAAAAGCGTGGGAAATAAGCATAAGCAATACAGATGCCCCGCCGTCTTACGAGACTTTAAGCGACTTTATTAAGACTCGCACTCGCGCGTTAATGGCATCCGCTCCAGGGTCAGCCGTTAAACCCGGTGTAAAACCAATCGCAGCCTCGCGAGTTCATGCCGCAACCGCATCCGCTAATGCACAATCGCAGTGCTCGCTGTGTCCAGCTCGACACTTTATTAATGTATGTCCTACGTTTGTGAGCAAAACTGCGAGTCAACGTCGCGATATCATCAAGCAACAAAAACGTTGTTTCAATTGCTTGAGCGCAAGGCATTCCGCACATGAATGCAAAAGTAAATATTCTTGTCGGGTTTATCACAAGAAGCATCATTCGAAGCTACACTTGACTCGGATTCTAGCTCAAGTGCTTTGAAAAATGCACCGTCTAATTGCTCGTCGCCTCAAGCGTCGGATGCGACGCCGGAGGTAAATTCGCTCAACGCCTTAACCGTAACGCGAAAGCGCTCACCCGTCCTCTTAGCGACGGCCTGAGTAACAATTCGCAGCCCGTCGGGTCGCACCGCTGTCGTTCGAGCTCTCCTCGATCAGGGCTCGGAAATGACATTCATTTCGAAAAGTTTAGCGCAAATCTTGCCGATTTCCGTTTCCGCCGTCGGCGGGATAAACGCGGGGACTTGTCAACACGCGACACACATATTCATTTCTCCTCGCGATTCTCACGTTCCGTCGCTGTCGACCACCGCGCTCATTATGAAATCGTTAACTTCTTATGCTCCGAGACAGAATGTGGACATCTCATCACTATCTTATCTTTCTGATTTGCCGCGAGGATGCGGATCCGATGAGTCTTGATCCTATAAATCTCATTATCGGAGCAGATCTCTATAACGATATCATTCTCGACGGTGTTCGCAAGGGAAGCGTCGGACAACCAATTGCTCAGAATTACGTCCTCGGATGGATAATTTCGGGACCTATTACGTCATCAACGACGAATAATTCCTCGTCGCCGACAATTCTCTCCGGAAACTGCGCTCTCAGTCGCGTTTCGACTCATCATATTGTCGGCTCTCCTTCTCTCGAAGAGGAACTTCGTCGCTTCTGGGAGGTCGAAGAACTCCCACGACAAACTCATCTCACACCGCAAGAACAGCAGTGTGAAGAGCATTTTCGCTTAACGCATTCTCGCGAGTCTGACGGACGGTATGTCGTGCGGCTACCGTTCAAGAAGGGTCCTCCGATTGAAATCGGAAGTTCAAGGCCTCACGCGGAAAAATTGTTCAATTTGTCACTTCGCAGATTTTGCGATAAACCGGAAGTCGCAAAAGAATATGGCGAATTCATGTCTGATTATCAACGACTTGTACATATGAAGCCCGCGCCGGCAGCTCGAAGTCAAATCGAACAATCTGTTTATCTCCCACATCACGGAGTTATCCGGGAAAGTAGCTCTACTACGCGTCTTCGCGTTGTTTTTAACGCATCGAGCGTTACTTCTAACGGCACATCGTTAAATGATCATTTAAACGCCGGGCCGAAATTACAAACCGATCTCATGTCGGTCATCCTACAATGGCGTAGATACAAATACGTCTATTCATCCGATATCGCGAAAATGTATCGCCAGATTCACATCGATGCGCGGGATATAGATTATCAACGGATCTTGTGGAAGTCATCGCTGTCGGAACCGCTCATCGATTATCAATTACTAACAGTTACGTATGGAATGTCATGTGCTCCGTTTCTGGCCCTTCGGGTATTAAAACAACTAGTCATCGACGAAAGTCAGCATTTTCCGCTTGCTGTTCCCATCCTAAGCGATAATATTTACGTCGACGACTTACTTTTCGGAGCTGACGATACCATTCGAATTCGGCAAGCGCGCGATCAATTAAACTCTATGTTAAAGCGCGGCGGATTCGTATTACGGAAATGGGCGAGCAACTCGCCCTCTCTTCTCGAGGACATCGAAATCGCAGATCACGGTCTAGCCACGAACAAACCTCTGTCTGAAGACGAACAAATCGCATCTCAGTAAGTCGCGAATCACGCGCTGGGTCGGTCTCGGATCACACACAAATCACGCCGAAATACACGGATTTGCTGACGCGTCGACACATGCGTATGCCGCATGCGTTTATATTAAAATTACTTCGTCAGCAGGCACAATCACGACAACGTTGCTCGCCGGAAAATCAAAAGTCGCACCGTTAAAACCTCTGAGCATACCACGGTTGGCATAATCTGCTGCCGTATTACTCTCGCGACTCGTCGAGTTCGTTTGCGGATCGAACGGTTACAGGGATATCCCATCCCTGCCGAAAATGGTCGATTAAAACCGATTAAAACATA